CCTTCTAAATCTTCTCGGTATTTAAACCGGCCATTTTGCAAACGAGCCATAAAAGAAGTACGCTTCATTCCATCAGGATAGGTAGTGGAAAATTTTTCCCAAAGTGCATTTTTCTGATTTTTTAGATAAAGAACTGGCAATTGTGTTTTTGCATCCACCTTATATGAGCTCATATTAACATTTTCTTTGTCTGCAAAAAATAATTCAAATTGTTTTTCTTTAACCTCAGACATTTTTGAGCGTGTAATATTTGGTTTTTTTAGTGCAACACATCCTGGTCCATTAATTCTAGAAAATTTTCGTGCTGCATTAATTGAATTAGGTGAAACCTAAAAAATATATGTTTTTTAACTATAACTGACACATTTATTATACAAAAAACTACATGAAAAATATACAATTTTTTTTACCTCTAGCTCATCCTTGTATATAAAGCTTTCTCCAATTATTGACAATATGCGTACATTGCAGAAACTTTTAAAATCGAAATCATATCGTGACCATGTCAAAATTTTATCGTAGGGATTATAACCAAGACTTAGTCACGATATGATTTCACATTGCCACGATAAGTTTAACATAATCGTATGTATAAAGTTACTGCATATTAAGGAAATCGGCACCTGATTTAATCGGGTCGTACAAAAATAGTATTGAAATCATAAAATACAAATTAAAGTTATAGTTAATGCATATTTAAGTTATAATAAATATATGTTTAAGTTATATTAAACAAATATTAAAGTTGTAGTGAAGTTATAATTTATTTATTTTAAATATGTTGTAAAGTGTTCTATAAACTTTATTAAAATTGTAGTAAAGTTATTGTTAATTTATTTTTAATAAGTTGTAAAGTGTTCAATAAACTTTATTAAAGAAATATTAAAGTATTCTATTCTAAATCTAATCTTACTCAAATCTATTATTATTCTAATCTATAAATATTAATATAAATTATTCTACAAGTGTAAAATGTCTTATTAATTCTATGTATAATATTCATTTTTTTTAAAGAAGGTTTGAAATTGTTCGAAACTTGGGATTCCTGCAGAAGCTATTTCCCTACTAAATATATAAATTAATTAAAGTTGTTAAAACGTTTTTAAAAGAAAGTTTTTGAAAGTGTTTCGAAAACATACTTGATACTTCCTGGCTCCAGGGTTCTTGGAGCCAGTGTTTACAAAATTGTTAGTTAACGTTTCATGGTCATTCGATCATTCGAGGAACTCTTTCCACCGATCATTCAGTCCAAAAATTTTCAGGCTGATAAAAATGGCGGAAGGTCCAAAAGTCATAAAAAAAAAATTTTTTAGCATCGGACAAACATTACTAACTGTTTATATATTCCTTTAGGTTCTTTTTGATACTAGTTTGAGAGGGAGTTATTATGTCACAAAAATATTTTTTTGGCTTGCAAAGTTTCGATTCTAAAAAAAATAGGTACTTGCTCAAAAAGTTCCAGAGCTTCACTGTTACGGTGTTACCATAAAACCTTTGTTGGCTAGTAATTTGAACAAGATGCTGAAAACATTAGACAAGAGTGACAAGACGGTACTTCTTCTTTACTTTAGTTCTTAGCTCTTTGGACTCAGTTTCTTGGGAATATTTTGACTTTCGTCATCCTTTTGTGGCGCAGCAAAAAAATTTGAACTCGTGATGGGATGACCAAAATGGAAAGTTTTTGATTCTGAATCATGATTTGCTCATTTTTGTCGAAGTCACGTTTAATTATGTAAAAAATTTTTCTGACGCTAAATCTTAATGACATTTGAGGTTCTTTCAAACAGGCGGGATGCTTTGAAGTACAACTAGTCGTTCTTGCTTTTGCTTTATATAGGGGGATGAGGTTACGGAACTAAGAGAAGTTCACAATGTTATAACTTTTAAATATAGGTACAAAAATTTAGTTACCTAAACATACAGAGGGGTGAACGAAGTTTAGCCAGGTGGTGTTCACGAATATGGTTGTTAGGGGGAACTGCTGGAATAATCAGATGAACTAGATTGTAGTCAACCGGTGGAATAAGGTTTAGTTAGGGGCTGGTTCAAACTTATAGTTGAGTTTAGATTAGTTTTAGTATTAGTTATAGATAGTCGAGAAATTTAACCGCGGGAATTATAAAACAGGGGTCAAGTTTGGTTTTGGACACTTTATGTTATTTGTGCGTATGATATGGTTCCGCGTTGCGTGGTTCCATTTTCACTAAGGAAAAAAAGTTAACGCTTCATTGCATAAAAACGAAAAAAATAAAACGATTTCGAAGCTTATACCTTTGAAATGAGTACGGCCTTTAAAATGTTCTCTTTAACTTACAAAAAAAAAAAACGAAAATGTTCAAAACATTTCGTTAAAAAAAACCCCCTGAAAGAAAAAAATTCAAAGTTAATCTTAGTCCATTTCAAAATGAATTGAAATGGAGTCCTGGACCTAAAAAATAAAAAATAAAAATGTTAGCAAATGTTTGTTAAAAAATTAAAGAAAAAATTTGATATTATACTTCAAAGCTGGACCTAAAAAGGAAACATTGTAAAACGTTTCGTTAAAATTCCATCCCACCGAATTCCCACGCATCCAAAGATCATTCTAAGAAAAAGAAATAAAAAGAGAATTTAGTAGTTGTTTAAAAGACGAAATAAAGAAATTAAAAAGACATTGCAAAACTCAGCGAAATACTATGTCCAAAGAGCCGAGGAGCCACCTAAAAAAGAAGAGGAAACGTGGAGCAAAGGGGAAGACAAAAGAGAGAGAAAGGGAAGAACGAGAAGTAGAGAAATTAAAGTACGAGGAGGGGAAAGGGAGAAACGAGAAGAGAAGGGGAAAAGAGGAGGGAAAGGGAAGAACGAGAAGGGGAAAGGAGAGAATGAGAAGGGGTAAGGTATTATGTAATATAATTAATTTACAAACTGTAATTTATTATTAAGAAGGTTTAAAAGGGTTTTTTGACGTACTGTAACCCATTGAAGGTATAATTATTAATTTATAATTTATTGAAATTATAAAAGGAAATGCTGGAAGAACGAGAAGGAGGGAAGGGGAAGAAAGAGAAGGAGGAAAGGGATAATATAGCTTAAATTGAATTTAACTTTAGCTTTTGAATATATCGATATAATTTAAAATTTACCTTTTGATTTAATATAGTTTAAATTTTAACTTTCGATTTACACTAAAATACACTAAAATGTAATATAAGTATATAAGTTTCGAATATAATTTAAAATTTAACAATTTAACTTTCGATTGAAGAAAAAAAATACAATTTGTTCGAAATTATCACTTATATAGGTTATATTGTTGACCATTCTTAGTAAGCTAATACGCAATTGTGTTTCGTTACTTGTAGATCAGAGATAAAAATATATCTGTTGAAAAGGGTATCGCCATATTAATATTGATAATTTTTCTCATTCCATTCCCACACAATATCGATATAGTTATTTATAACCAAATATGGTTTGCTATAGAAGTATATAAAAGTTTAAGTCTATATGTAAGTCTAATACTAAACAATTAAGTTGATACAATCAAATTTATTAATCAGTTTCGCCAGATTGGTACAATCAAATTTATTATTTAAAGAGAAATAATTTCGCTTTTTTTCATAATCTCTATATTAAAATACAATACGTTGTATTAGTATATTTATTATTATTTTTTTTTTTTAAAAAAAACAGTAACGCGTTTTTATTTATGAACAAATCAAAAGAAATAGTTACATAAAAATTAAAACACCTAGAAAGAAGCAGACAAGACCTACTTCCCTCTATAACTGAGTTCATTCTAGTCTAAAAAACTATAATAAATCTAAAAAACTGATAATTGTTATTTTTAAATCTATCTACTGTTATAGACGTTACTAATCTAAAATATTTTAAAATTTTTTTATATATTTTTTTGAATATTATCCTACGTTTTCTCTAATTTTCTCATCTTTTCAAAAAAATAAAACACGCAGATATAGAAAAAAAATTTTAGCTCTCATATTCTAAAAATCTAAAAAATAAAAAGAAACAAAATAAAACAAAAACAAAATTGAAATTAATATAAGTATTAAGAAACAAAATCCCTAAATCTGCGCCCTTGATAGAAATGTATCCAAAAACCGGCCGAAATTCCATAGTCGTCCGTGATATTCTTCAACCAAATCTGAACGCAAAACCAAAGACGTTAATCTTAAAAATTGTTCTTTCATTAAGGATAAATTTGTTTATTTCTAGACGAAATCATTCACTGTCAGATTCTTCTTCTCTTCGTCCCTGTGTCATCACAACACGGTTTTGTTTTCGTTGAATTTATCTTTTCCTTCACTTATCGTCACTTTTTTTGAAATAAAGGTTTCTTTATCTTTCATTTTAACTAATCTTTTACTGAATTTGTTATTCAAATCATCCAATTCTTCGTGTACTTCTTTATTTCTAGGTATCGTCGATAAAGGAGCTGTTGGTGCGTCCACAAATTTTTCACCCTCAGATGTTGTATGTATAGGCGCACTAAATTTAGTTGTTTTGATCCTTTTCCTACAAACTCCTTTCTTACCAATCAATTCATCTTGACTTTTCAATTTTAGACCATCCCCATAGCTTCTTCCATTGTGGATTTATAGATTACCTTCATTATATCGTTTTCATTGTTGAAATATATCAAAATATATCTAATATTTTATTATTTTTATATGTTTTATATAGCAAATATTCCTATTATGATATAACAGATAATACGCTTTTCACAATTATTAGTATTAGAAAAGTATAATTTATTAGTAAAAATTTTTACTAATATATAATCGGCTTTTTATTAAAATGAATTTTATTACACAACTTTATTTAATAAATAAATGTGACAAAAAATAAAGAAATAAAGAAATCGGTAAATAATATTTAATGCATCGAAAAAGTATATTAGATTGATTGTTTCGGCTAATTTTCGATGATATTTCCTATCTATTTAAGACCACGTCACGACTTCGAAAAGACTACGAAAAAGCCTGTCGTCGATGGTTCCACGAGATAGTCCGACACCACGATAGTCACGTGTCTGATACTAAATCGTCGGGATTTATTGGCGATCACTTAACTGCATGGTAACAAATCATGGGTTTCTGCAATGTATTTTGCCATCTGTTCCATTAGGATTTACATTATAACTATCACGAAAGCAATTCCAAAATACATCAGCTGGAGAAGGTATAGTTATATTCAGAAATCCTCCCACATATAAATTAGCAATTGTTTCACGATCTTTTTCAGGATTAGTCGCATTTGTCCAAAATTCAACCTATAATATAACACTTTTTATATTAGTTATTGACTTACCATTCACATATATATTTATTATTTTTAAACTTACATTAGAAATTTCTTTCTCGCGTGGAGTAATATTTGTGCATCCTGCAGCACGAAACATTGCACGCCATCCTCGCAATTCACGTTCATGAAACTCATGACTTGAATTATATATTTTGCCAATATGAGTAAATAGTTCAATTATATTACTTTTTTGCTGTGCCCAATTCTGAAACACTTGATGCCATTCTTCAACTGACCCACTAGCTACTTTTTTTAAATGAAATTTAAACAAATGTTCCATAATTGTTTTATCATGCCAATCTGCTAGCGTGCATTCATTAGGCATAGATACTTGTAATAAAAGAACTGCTTGCCCTAATTTTTGTAAAGTTATAGTATGATTCATCGCAAATAATGTATCACCTGAGATTGATTTTAGAATTCCAGTTTTACGCCATACAGCATTAGGTGAAATGTCTTTATATACAGCAATAATTTGACTATTCTGATAAATTGTAATTGAGAATGAATTTTGATCTACACATTGAAAAAAGACTGATTGCTTTCCTTTATACTTGTAAAATAAAGATGCTGAATAATTATGACCAATTACTTTTGTATTTGACCGAATTTTACCAAGACAGCCAACAAATATGGATATATTTTCTGTCTCAATAATAAAAGGACGAAATATAATTCCTTCTAATAGCTTTTGAACTGTATCCAGCTGTTCTAAACCTAAATAAGATAGTCCAGCATATTTCGTTTTGGTACCAAAAACAGATTGGTAAACAGAAGTAATGGCCTTTGAAGCACTTTCAACAACGCCACTACTTTGCCCTTTCCCTTCACAAATATAACCTGGTTGCAAAGGACTGTGAACATGACGAACTATACGAATAATAAAAGGCTGTCTATTGAGTTGCAACATAATTTCAAGTCCTAGTCGTAAAGGAATAGGATAAAACGCGTTTTCGTCTGAAAAAATCCACCAGTCGCGTGAATATGGACCATAATGAAGTTCTGACACAATAGCACCAGTTGCAACAAGTTTTCCTGGAGTTATATGTGTATTTATCATTGTCAATTTATTGGGGAAACGGAGATTTCAAACGGTATTTTTATTATTAATTAACATAACGCCGCAATTTACTATTAAATGTCTATCAATCACATGTGGATCGGCAATTAATATGTTTTATTTAATATTTTTTTACTACAAGATTACTAACATAAATTTTAATTTTTTTATAATTTTAGGTTTAGACCCACTACTACAGAAAATTCAATAACAGGTGGGTATTTTTGATTATTAATTATTAACATTAGTATTTTTTATTCTTTTAATATTATTACCAATTTACTAATTTAAATTATATTTTATATATACTTTTTTACGATTTTAGGTTTGGCCCTATAGTTTCATGTCAGGATGGATGAACAGATCAGCTACTGCAGCAAATTTAATAACAGATAGGGTGTTTTTTGATTATTATTAATTATTAAATATTAACATTTTTTTTATTTTTTTAAAATTATTATTCTTACCAATTTATTAAATTATATTAAATCTATTTTTTTTATAGTTTGGTTCGGTCTTATAACTTTATTTTAAGATGTGCAAATGGATCAGCTACTGTAATGTTTTAATTGATTATTAATTAATATTTTCTGTTTATTTTTTCATTATCTGTTATTACTAATATATTAATATAACATTTTTATTAATTTTATAGTATACTTTTTTAATTTAATCGCATAAATCATTCTGTAAATATTTTTTTTAGTAAACAAATTCTAATAAATAAATTTCATGAATAAATTTAATTTTTTCTTTAATAAATCTAATAAATAAACAAATGTTTTAATGTTTTAGTAAATACTGTTAATAAATATAGCCAAAACTTTCATATTAAAATGTCAACCTAATAGAACAGGCGCAGATGAATCACGCGCTGAATCGAATAACGGTTACACAAACATTTTTTTTTTATTTATAGATATAATAAAAAATATATATATATAAAAAATGATTCAAAAATACGAAATCGAAATCTATAATTGTTTACGTTATTTTAAATAAGTACAAGAACAAAAAATCGATATTTATTTACATTGTACAAAAACCGTTCCTCTAAGAAAATTCTTTGTTAAAAAAACATCATTATATATGTACCATATTAAGTAAATTGAACGTTTAGTTACACGAAAAAAATAAACTTTCTAATTGCGTAAATCAATGTCGGTCTAATTATCCCGCCATCTTGCATATTTATTCATTCTAACCTTGTTTTGGTTTCAGCCGTTGTACCTCACATGTTAGGATTTGATCATTTTAATTTTTGCTGTTGCATATGTTGATCACTTAAATCGAGGAAACAAAAAATCCAATATATATATTTATTATATACTGTCACGTGATAAACACACTATAGCTAAAATTGCGTTTACAATAAAAAATATCAGTTTTTGATTTATTCGCTTATTATCAAATCGCGTGATGTAAAAATGATCAGATGAATATAAGATGGAATTATAGTCTCCAAATTTCTTCAGTATAATTTTCTGGTGCATGTTGATAATGCAATTTTAACGCTGATTCTTAAAGTTTTCAACGGTAATTATTATTTTAAAATTTTATTGACATATATTACATGAAAAATCTATATACAGTACTTAATAAACAATCAAATTTTAAACGTAAAAAAATCTTAATTTAGGTGTAACCTTACAAATTCCTCAATTTTTTTTTTACCATGATTTAAATCTAAAATTTCAAAATAAAACCTTATATGTAAAAAACATAAAATGTAAAGGGGATTAGGTTTAAATTACTTCTAGATTAACACCCAAGTAGGATTTTAAGGCGATTTTTTACTTTAAAAGGCAAAAATTTTGGTTGATCATTTCATTTCAGTCAGATTTTCACCAAAATTTTCTATTCCGTTTTTGAAAATCATCCACATGCATAGTTGCCATGGATACAAAAAAAATTGCCTTTTTCGTAAAAAACTCTCAGTTTAATCTTAAATATTAGTACAGTACT